CATCATCCTTGCGGGTTGAGGGTGGACGTGACGATTGGTGGCCTCGTACGGGGAACCTCCAAACCTCTCTCCGTGGAGCCCAGAACTTGCTGCAGTCAGGGGGTGCACCAAATAATCCTCAAGGTAAAGATTGGGGATCTGCGACAAAAAGTGGGTTTTCTGCTCTCGCCGGTAGAAGAAGGGAGAGTGGGGGTAATAGGTCCGCTACCAAAGCGGATGGTTTAAAGTCAGAGCCACGATCAAAGTGGATGGTTTAAGAATGGGATTTTAGAATGGGCTCTTCAACATCACACCTGATTTTTCTGGCTCTTAACGAGCTGTTACAGAGCGCTTTGGAGAGGTTTTTGACTGAATGTGACACAATTGCTCCTTGGTTTTCCATCTCTGGCAATCTTAATGTGTCATCCTGGGATAAGCCTGGTAGAGATCTGGATTTTGCCACTGAACAAGGTATGCTAAGGAAGGGAGTGATGTTCATGTGGTTCGAATTACCGAGACCTCCAGAGTTTGCAGTGCAGTTTGAGCAGCTGAGGCTCTAAGACCAAGGAGCTACAGGCAGCTCCAAGGCCAAGCAGTGATGAGGATCTGCGAAGCTGCAAACACAGGGACCTGCCTCAGGGCATAGAAGCACAGCAAGAGGTAGGATCTGTTGGCCTGAACCTCTGTCCTAGCCTGGGGCAGCCACGCCTCCACCTTCCAGCTTGGTGGGGAGGAGCCTCTGCCTCTCCCCCTCCTGTCGCTGTGACCTGAGTCCCTGAGTCCCAGCGCGACTGTAGTAAAAACCTGTGAGAATGCAATGTCCCTGCTCAGCAGGAAGTAGCCAGAGAGATTGACAACGCCCAAATTCCCTAAAATGTAGTTTAAGCAGGGTTCTTTCAGAGCAGAAGCAGGATCAGCTGAGCTGCCAGGGAAGCCAAAGAGGTGCACGAGGGAGAAGGTGTCTTCCATGCACTCAGCTGACAGGAATAAATGAGCCACGGGGTTATGGCAGATGGGGTATGTTATTTAGGGGACTGCTGAAGGAGCAATGGTTTCTGACTGCTCCTGAGGTCATGGCAAAGCCACTCCTAATGACAGGAGCAGGCAGAGGAAAGCCAGGGAGGGGAAAGCAAGATGGCCTCCCCTTCCTCTCCTCTGTGCTGGCCCCTCTGCTACCAGGTCTGACTGCCCTTGCTGCTGCCACAAGCACAGCCGTGGCTGTGGCAATTGGCTCAGCTTGGCTGTGAATGGAAGTATCTGGGGCTGTGTGTGATATGAAAAATCTAAAGAATTGTCTAGATATTGTCTAGATATCTTTTAGGTAATTGGTCTGGTGAATTCGAACAACAACTGGAAAAGTTGCGGGTGGCGATGGTGACTGTGAACTCCACACGCATGAATACCAGCCTGGCAGAAGGACTATCCTCCTGGATCACTCATGGATCATCTGAAGGAGTGGGCGGGAGTAGGAGCCCTGGCAAGCTTAATGGTGCTTGCCTCCCTGGTGATGCCTATGGTGCATTTGCCACATAAGGGTTTCACAGCATCGCAATGCAGTTATGATCATTCAGGCCTTCACGGCTATTGAAGCAGGACAGTCCCCTCAAGCTTGGTTATCTATATTTGAGCACAGGATGCGAGGCTTGCACACTGCACTTGAGGTAAGCATACATCAGCCTCAAGAAGAGCAAGTCTGATTGCATGTGGGTTGGTGTCTAGCTCCCACCTCTGTAAAAAGGCACCGGACAGGTCTAGTGTTCTCTGAGTGGATGACACCTGGACAAACACTAGTACATGTTTCATTTCTTACCTGTGGCTTTACAAAACAAAAGGGGGAACTGTAGCGAGCTGCGTGGTGTCACACCTGATGGAGATGTATAATTAACTCCTGAGATGGCTAAGGCCTGACCTATGCTATGATCACGCAATGATCATCAGTTGCCTGCATATGCATGAACCTATGGGCAGTGCCCACCTGGCAATCCGGGATTGGCAGCCCATGCCTACTTAAGGGCTGGGAGAGGTTTGCCCCCGGAGAGAGGTCAAGGAGAGAGAAAGAGAGAGGGGAAGAGAGAGAATGAGAGGGAAGAGAAGGAGAAGGAGATAGATTGCTGTGAATAAAGTCTTGAAAACTGCTGCAAGAAGAGCTCCGGGTGTTGCGTCATTCCTTGCGGGATGAGGGTGAACGTGACAATGGGGCATCTTCCAAGGAAAACTGCTAACAGGGAATGGAACCTGTGGTGATATTTTGTTTATGCTCTAACAAATAAAGCTTGCCTAAAGACAGAGGGTGGAGCTAGCCACTTGTTAACCATAGAGGCCAGGTTGTGGTGGCTCACACCTTTGATCCCAGCACTTGGGATTTCATGCCTTTGGTCCCAGTACTCGAGAGACACAAGCCTTTAATTCCAGCACTAGGGAGGTAGAGAGAGAAATATAAGGTGAGTGGAGACAGGATCTCAGTCCATTCGGTTTGAGAATTCAGGAGAGGTAAGAATTCTCTTGCCGGGCGGTGGTGGCGCACACCTTTAATCCCAGCACTCGGGAGGCAGAGGCAGGTGGATCTCTGTGAGTTCGAGGTCAGCCTGGTCTACAGAGCTAGTTCCAGGACAGGCTCCAAAGCCACAGAGAAACCCTGTTTCAAAAAAACCAAAAAAAAAAAAAAGAATTCTCTTTACTGGTTGGCTCCTTTACTTCTCTGTTCTTTCAACATTTAACCCAATAGCCGACTCCAGGTTTCTTATTATTAAGACCAATTAGAATTCGTGCTACAGGAATCAGCCCAAGAGAAAGAAGTACACTGCAGTCAACAAAGCTGAAAGGAATTGGAGATCTGAAGAGCACTTTGACAAGAGACCTGGAGGAGCAGAGTTTGGAGTTTGCCCAACTGGTTTTCAGCCTTGCTTTGGTCCAATATTTCCTCACTATGCTCTCTTCCCTATGTTTCAGGATGGTAATGTATAACCTGTGCCATTACATGTGTGAAGTATGTAATCTGATTTTTGATCTTGATTATATAGGGTATTACAGTTAAAAGGTTGCATGAGTCTCAGAGGAGACTTTGAACTTTGGACTTTTAAACGTTGATATTGTGATGGACTGTGGGGACTTTTGAAGTTGGACTAAATGCATCTTGCATTGTGATATTCTTATAAACTTATGGGGGCCAGGGAGTGGAATGTGGTTGCTTGAATGTAATTGGCCTCCATAATTTCACAGGGATTGACACTATTAGGAGATGTGGCCTTGTTGGAGTAGGTATGGTCTTGTGGAGGAAGTGTGTCTCTATGAGTGATGGGCTTTGAGGTCTCTTATGTTTAAGCTGCTGCCAGTGTTACAGTTCACTTCCTGTGGCCTGTGGATCAAGATATAGAACTATCAGCTCCTTATCTGGGAACTTGTCTGCCCGAATGCCATCTGCCATGATGATACTGGACTAAACCTCTGAACTGTTAGCAAGCCACCACAATTAACTATTTTCCTTTGTAAGAGTTGCTGTGATTGTGGTGTCTCCTCACAGCAATAGAAACACCAATTAAGACAGGAGATGTGTCCTGTTGGAGAAAGTGAGTCACTGGATATGAACTTTGAGGTTTCATGCCAAGTCCTGTATCTCTGTCTGTGGATAAGGATGTAGCTCTCAGTTACTGCTCCAATGACATGAGTGCCACCATACCCATTCCATAAGTTAAATGATGAACTAAACCTCTGAACCTGGAAGCAAGCCCGCAATTGCATGTTTTATAAGAATTGTAAGAGTTGCTATGGTCATATGTGTCTCTTCAAGCAGTAGACCAGTAACTAAGAGAAGGCCAAACTGCCTTGAAAGAAGGGCAATGTGCAAGAACTAATGCTTCCCCCTTTAGAAACCATCCACAAAGCTACAACAAACAGTGAAATGGTGAGACCAGCCTAAGATTGATCTGGAATTTAATACACAAAGATTGTTATTTTGATACAAGCACTAAAACGTATTAACTAACAATTTTACTTAAAACATAATGATTAGTCAATGGATAAACTATAATATCTCCCAAAAATGTTAATGAGATGCATGGATATTCACAAGAAAAAGAATGTAATTGGCCCTTGCCACTAACCACACACAAAGTTAATATACAATGGATCAAAATCTAAAATCAACTTAAAAAACAAGAGTAAAGTTTTATGACACTGGGTCAAGAAACAGTTTCTTAGATCTATAGAAAATAACAAGAGATAAAGTTGCTTGGTTAGATGAGTGGGGTATGCCTTTATCCCAGGATTCCTGAGGGGGGAAGCAGGAGAATCTCTGTGAGTTTAAAGGCAGTCTGGTCTACAGAGTGAGTTCCAGAATAGCCAGGGCTACATAGGGAGAATCTAGCTTCTCCCCCTTCCCTGCCACCATGAATTGTATTTAACCAAATAGAAAATATTTGTTTATAATACAAAGGACATCATGAAATAAAAATGCCCCCAGCTGTGGTGCCATGAGCCTATCATCCCAGCACTGGGGAGGTGGTGGCAGGAAAATCAAAAATTCAAAGTTATCTTCAGTAATGTGGTAAGTTCCAGGCTAGCCTAGGGAATGTGAGACTTCTTAAATACATATATGTGTGTATCTCTCTCTCTCTCTCTCTCCCTCCCTCCCTCCCTCCCTCTCTCTCTCTCTCTCTCCCTCCCTCCCTTCCTCTCTTCCTCTCTCCCTCCCTCTTTCTCTGTGTGTGTGTAAAATGTGGGAGGGGAGAAAGGATTATGGGAGCCAGAAGATCCAAGGACACCACAAAATCAGTTAACCTGGGCTCATATGGCTCAGAGACTGAATCACCAACCGGAAAGCCTAAGTAAACAGGAAGTGCATTGTAAGCAACTTCCAAAACTCTAGAAATGACAGAGACATCTCACTGCCTGGACAGTCACCCAGAGTTCTTCTGTACCGTTGGGGCATCCATCTTCAGCTTACAGGCCCATAGTATCCAGCAAACATTTTCATGAAGCAGGAAATTTTAAAGACAGTTCCGTCACTTTCTTCTGTGTCCTGTAGAATGCCTCCCAGACTCTTTCATGAAACAGGAACCCTGAAGGATCATCTCACCTTTAGGCAATTAATTTTATGGAAGTTAGTATATGAAAGAGATTCGTAAACATCCTCAGTTTTCTCTTTTCCTGTCCCCATCCCCTCTCCTGACCAGTCTACTGCTCATAACCCTCACAGCTCTCCTTCCTTTTGACTCAGGTCAGGAACCCATCACCTCTCCAGGCATTTCTGCATCAGTGTCTCCATGTACACTTTACCTCTTAATTTTCCTCTTCAATACAGTCTTTTTTATTTTAATTTTTTAATATTTTCATCAGTATATTTTGATTATGTTCTTTCCCCTCCTCGAAGTTCATATTCTTTCTCCACCCACTCTCACTTTTAAGACAAAACAAAGCAAACAACAAAAAGTGTAAAAGATAAACTAAAAGACATAAAAAGAAAAACAAAAAAACTACAAAAGCAAACAAACATGGAGTCAGTTTTGTGTTTCTCAAGTCCCCCTGGGCTTGTGTACTGCCAGGAGTGTGGCTGAATATACCCAGTGGCACTCCATTGGGAAAAACTGACTTTCCCTTTCCTAATAGGTATCAGTTGCAAATAGGTTCTTGGTTAGGGCAGGAGTTTGTGTCCACTTCTCCATGTCAGTGTTGGGCAGTTGTGGGCATCAACTCTTCATATGTCTGATTCATTTTCTCAAAAATTTCACACTGGTTCTATCTGACCCCTGTTTAAAGCCATTTAAACCCCCATACCCTGCTCCTTTCATCACTGTGGCGATGTGTGTGTATATGTGTGTGTGCGTATGTGTGTGTCTGTGTGTGTGCCACCTCCTCCCACCTATCAGAGTAACAACAATAGATCTACATGCTCTGCTCACTGAAGATCAGTCTGAGCACACAACTATCATCTCTCTCTCTCCATGCTCCACACAAGCATTCCCAGCATCTTGCCTGCCTCTCTCTCACCTAGTTTCTCACCATGGAGGAGTACCACAACCTGCACCTTGTTGCCCACACTATAGTCAGAGCAGGACTCAGCTCAGTCAGGAAGCCTTCCCTGTTATGCTATCACTGCTCACCCCGAACCTAAATAGGTTACACCCTACATTTCTTATTCATTGGCCAGTTATAATCTAAAGAATCCTAAAGGGGCCTGATATCAATTTTGTTACCAAACAACTTGGTCAAACACTTTGTTATTTTCTTGTTAACTGAAACCCCACACAACTAAGAAAGAATTGTCTCTGATGGAGTATGGCTGTACGGGTAACTTCCTAACCTTTACAAAAATTAAAACAACTAATATTTATTGGGTAAATTGTATAATATATCAATTGTTATACTAGCTTTAGCTTAAAATAACACATTTCTGAAGGAAGTATTCTTACCTGTGTGTTATAGATGAAAATCTACAGCCGAGAGAGGGCATCTTATGCCAAAATTACAATCTCTGCATGGGAGAAGCGGAATGTCATTAGAGCCTGGCTCTCAGTCACCTTCTCTGCTTCTAGCACACAGGCTCAGAGGTGGGAGGTGAGGAAGGCAAAGTCTTCACATTGTCCATCAAGTTGAGCTTATGGAGACTCAGCACAGGCCAGAGCCCTCCTAGGACAGAGCTAGATGGCTAGTCACAGACCATCTCTCCTGAGGAGATTTTCCCTCCTGTCTGAATGTGAGAGACCCTGGGATGTATTGAAAGTAGAAGGATCCAAGGAAAGAGGATTTGAAGCGTGTTTCCATAGAGCAGGCAATGAGGGAAGAAGTTTGAGGAGTTTGAAATGTATGTACCAAGTACCAGAAATTGGGTAGACTGACTACTTCTCATCTCTAGTACCACAGATGCCTAGGTCTCACCCAAAAACTTATCACCAAAGACTATCTCGCCACTAGTAGAGCCAAGGAATGTTTCACTGAGTGCCTGTTTCTTCCCCCTGTAGGAAACCTGAAGCAACTGAGTCAAAAGACTAAGGATTTGAGGTTGCTCAGTTTCCAGAAAAATTTCAAGGTAAGGCAAAGTTTGAGGGTTGAGTCTCTCACTCCTCAGCAAGTAGGCCAGCACTGGATCCTGAAAATGGCGCTTATAAAATCCCGTTTAACAAAGGCAAGCTCAGATATTTTCACCTCTTCCCTGGGACCAGCTCCTGGGGTTTTATGACCCTGCCTCCTCTCTGAGATTCCCCAGGAGAGCTGGGAAAGGACCATTTCTGTTCCCAGTAGGGATGCAAAGATGATCTCCGGATGCTGTCAACAAGAGCACTACAGGGAGACCCTGGGGGGCAGAGCTGGAGAAACAGCCCATAGGTGGAGAAGTGGTGACCTGTTCCCTTTTCTAGACTAATTGGGGGAATAAGAGCAGCTCAGAGAAGAGGAGGTGAGACCTGGTTACCTGATACACAGGACAAGGACTTAAGTTCTCATTCTGATTCCTCTTTTACTGCCCAAACCCTGAGTCCATATTTGAATCACACTTCTCTTCCTTCCTCAACTACCTTGGGGGCAATCATAGTCCTCCCTTCTCTGCTGTGTGATATCTGAGCAGGTTACCCAGTCACTCTGGTGTTAATGAAGAGTCATCAACAATGGGGCCTGACTGGAGAGGTGGCTCTGGGAAAAACAGGATTTGCTGTGCTGCAGAAGACCCAGTTTGGTTCCCAGCACTCACATGGCTGCTCACAACCATATATATCTTTAATTCTAGAGAATCTGGTGTTCTTTTCTAACTTCCCCTGAGACCAGACATGCATGTAGTGTACATATATATGTGCAGGCAAAATGCTCATACACATAAACAAAAATAAATGAAAAAGAGTCAACCATGACATGCCAATATGAAAGTCAGCAGTAAACCTGAGGATTGTAAGGATTAAAGACCAAATCCACAGTTGTCCGACTAAAGGAAGCTGTACTTTGGGGTGCACTCCGGACTGGTCTGCTGGCTGTCTCACCCTAGGTTTGGATTGGAGAGAGAAGCCCTAATGGCCTCCCAAGTCCCTTTTATAGGGGAGATAAAATGTTCAAAGGGGTAAAAGATTTGGCTGTGGTGCATTGTTAGAAAAATGCAACAAAAGGGAAGGAACAAGGGTAAGACATGAATGAGGTCAAAATTTTAGTGCAGGTTGAAACCTGGCTTTACAGTTTATATCAGTTTTTTTTTTTAAAAAAACCCAGTAAGTTATTCTTCAACTACAAACAGAAATCTTAACTTTCCAGGACTTAACACAGTACCAACAGGAACTTATTCTTAACTGTCTTCATCGCAAATAGAAACCTTAATCTACAAGGTATGCTGTTCCTGTTTTGGTCTCATATTCCCCCCTTGAATTGTATTCTGAGTCAAATCCTTGACTCTGTAGTGGGCATCTGGTTATATTGGGATCTAATAACCATCGTCAACTTAATGGCTCCAAAATAGGAATTTATATATTTAATTAAGGCATTAGGATGCAAGGGCCAACAGTAATTAGTAGAAACAGAAGGGCCAAAGGCCCTAGCTGACACAAATTACTATCTAGGAGGAGCCCAAATGTGAGAATGATCATCAGTCATTTTTTTCATCGCCGGTCCCATTTTTGTAATGTTTCTTTGGGTATAGCCAAATTATCTCTAATGATTCCTGAGTGGTTTTGTATAGAAATAACAATTTTATTTTAAGGCCATATAATATCGCCTTGTTCTATATAATTCACATGTAATTATATATAACATATATAACATAATATTTATATATAATTCATTTTGTAGAACTACTTCACCTAATGAATCTACCTATGGACAAATCTTGGCCTATATAGTTTCAACACTTACTTTTCCTGGTGTAGCAATAGGCACTATAGGTAGCCATTTTGTCCCCTATGCCAGGGAATTTCCTTTTGACTCAATATTCCAATCTACTGAGGACAAGGGACAACATACTCTCTTCTGTAACTACTTCCTGTTAAAACTAGGATGTCATTGCCAGGGCCCAGGTAGCCTGGAATGCTAGTTAAAGGCTGGGAGGGGACTCAGGCAATGGGGCGTTCATCAGAAGCATCTGGTTAGCTGACCAAGCTTCAGAGAGCAGTTGTAGCAGCTGGCCTGGCTCACATTAGCTTTCTGCGAGTCCAGGGCTCGCAGCAGTTTGGAGTGTGTTGTAGCAAGCCGCTGATTCCTGGATGGTGTCTGCCAGACAACTAGAAATCTGCTGATTCGATATGGACTAGGAACAGAAGTTAAAGTTTAAGAGCTTAAAGGTAAATCTTATATTTGGAACTTTCAGGCCCATAGTCCTGACATAGTAATTGGTGAAGAGAAGATATCCCCAGACCAAAGAAGAGAGAGCAAGATTCCATCCTTAGGAATAGGAAGGTGAAGAAACTTAGGCTGTACTTACCTGGATTCCATTTGACCTATGAGAGATGGATCCTTAATTTCCTGAAGCTTTCATATTTTTTTAAATTTAAACAAAGATAAAAGTTTTAGATATATTAGCATTACCACTGTTGGTAATCTGTACTAAAATCACTATTACCAAGAAAAATCATTGCAAAACAAGTTCTTTTAAATAAAGGAATAGTAAAAAGTTACATCTGAAACCTGCTTTTCCTTTAATAGTAAGGCTGTTAGTAAGGCAAGCCTGTCTGTCTATCTCACCAGGAGACACAGTAGCTCTATAAAAAATGAGACCTGGTTTTTTACATATGAAAGAAACTCACAAGGTGGCTGCAAGCTTGGGGGAAGAAACTGGTTGTGTGCTGCTGTTAAACTGACAAAGTTACAGTTAATCTAGTTGTCAATGCCATCAGAGATCTGAGAAGGATAAGTTATAGCAAGAATTATAGTCCAAATGACCTACGTATCAATTAAAACAACAGAAACTTACCCATTATCTAGATGGTCACCCCAGGCTATGGTGATTTTAATTACTTCCTTGGGGGCAGAGGTCCCAGGGTAGAATTTCTCTTCAGTTGCCAGACCCATGTCTGAGAAAGTTTCTGAGATTTTCAGTAGAAAGAGAACTTGTGAGACTGACTTTATTCTGTTTAGGCAAAGTGGGGCAATAAACTCTCAAAGATCCTGCTGTTTTTATTCAGAAATGATGGCAGGTCCCTGGTGGGCTCATGGGGACGGAACCGCTAGCAGGTCCCCTCGGAACCCCGGAGCGTCCTAGTGGCAAGTGGCAGACACACAACAGGCGGGCAGGAATGAGGCGAGTCCCGGGCAGGTCCGGGAAGGGCCCAGCTGCTGCTCTCACTGGCGGAGCCACGCAGAGGCACTGGCAGCTGTGGTTTCCCAACAAGCAGGCCGTGGATAGGCGTAAAGCTAAAATATTTATTACAGGAGAGAGGGGGAGAGGGAGGGGGAGGGGGAAAGGAGAGGGAGAAGAGGGGAGGGGAGGGGGAGAGGGAGAGGGAGAGGAGAGGCAAAAAAACCCGTGTGCACCCCAAAAAAGCAGAAAGAGAAGAGAGAGAGATGGCGGCGGAAGGTCAGAGGTAGTGTGAGTGGGCGTGGCTTGTCTCCCAAAGAGACAGGAAACCACAACACCTGCCTGTCCACAATTTGCGCTGGGCCCTGGCAGCAGGCAAGGCTTTGAGGGAATTTTTCCAGTGGTTAGTATTACTACAATCCAGGGGCAGTCACCATGCCCCATCATCTTCTTTGGAGACCTTGGGGTTACTCCCAGGAGCTGGAGTCTCTCTGTCATAGTAAGCTTTTTCCATTAAGTATTTTATGCCATATTCAGCAGATATCTGGAAAGTTTGATGACCATTATCTATTAAGTATATCTGAGCTAAACAAACTTTGCTTGTTTTTATTTGTTTCCTTTAGGCTTAACCTTGGAAGCATATACAGGGGGCTAAATAAGACTTATTTCTATAATTAATTACTTTAGCACTTAGTATAACAAGTATAGTTCTGAACACATTAAAGAGTCTGATCCTTTATGAGGCAACTGACCATTAACTTGCATGTCTTAATTATCTTTAACAGCTTACAATAAGCTAACAGCTTTTATAAGATTAGGGCCTTACAACTTTATCCCTGTTAAGTTTGAGTCTTAAAAAAATCTGAATTGAAGCTCCTTTTAGTATCAAAATAAAATTTTAAATCATGAATACAGCCCATAGGGAGACTGGCAACTTTATAATTTCCTGGTTCTTATAGCTTAGAAAAATAGCTGAAGCTTAACAAAGTTAGCAAAGACAAGGGGGCTAGACATCCATCCGCAGTCTCTGTCAGCTTGAATAAACCTTAGGTAAGGAGGGACTCTTCGCTAGACTGCTTAGGTTGTTGTCTTGCTGAATCATAAGGTAGGAACATCCCAGTTACTTGTGGTTAATGCCTGTTGTTCATATCTGTGGACCTAACTCATTAGCCTTTTAGTTATTTCTTAAAATTATATACTAATAATATAAAACATTTTATAAATTTAGAATGTCCTATAGCCTTATTAATTTAAATATTTTATAAAGGCTAAAAACATCCAGACCTTTTTATTTAAATTTGTGTAAAACTCCAAAATTTCCTCTTAAAATAGTAAAAATCTCTAAACTATGTATTCCTTCAATATCAAACAAAGTAAAATAAAAAAATTGGGAGGTGGTGACACATGCCTTTAATCCCAGCACCCAGGAGGCAGAGGCAGGCAGGTCTCTATGAGTTTGAGGCCAGCCTGGTCAACAAAACAAGTTCCAGGACAACCAGTACTGTTGCACAGAGAAGCTCTGTCTCAAAAAACAAAAACACAAACAAACAAAAACAGGAAAGTACCTCTTTTACTTTAAGAGGGAAGACATAGGGCACAATCAGCACAAGGCAAAATCATGCTCTAAAAATGCAAACAATTTAATATTCATTATCTGGGTGTAGCGGCGTAAATGAGTGCAGACAGACTGTAATAATATATACAGCTTTAATGGGGCAATAGACTTACAGAACCACAGGTTCCCGCGGAGAACAGGAAAGCAGAAGGGGCGGTTGGGAGCACGCCCACAATCTTTATAAGTAAAAAATATCCTCGGGGGACCCTGCCCCCTGCTAGCAAGGTGATTGGCTGGGTCTCTCCTACATCTTGGATTCCCTCATAATCTCTGGACTTTCCCAAGGGACTCAGGTCACCTCTTTGGCCCCACCCTAAGCAGCATATATAGCCTTTTAGAACCTAGCCAGCTGAATATCATTGTCATTGGTGTTTCTGGTGACTATCATATCACTTGCATTGCCAAAACTGCTAGGATTACCCCACGACAACTGGGTTCTCTTCAGGAACTCCAGGTCTGCCACACAGGCAAGCCTCCGCTGCTCTCCATGGCCGCTTTATGCCTTTGAAACCAATACCACGGGGCTGGAGAGATGGCTCAGAGGTTAAGAGCATTGCCTGCTCTTCCAAAGGTCCTGAGTTCAATTCCCAGCAACCACATGGTGGCTTACAACCATCTGTAATATGGTCTGGTGCCTTCTTCTGGCCTGCAGGCATACACATAGACAGAATATTGTATACATAATAAATAAGTAAATATTAAAAAAATAAAAAGATAAAACCAATACCACATGGGTGACTCTTACGTTACAAAGTTTGGCTACCAATGCAAGATACATTCTTGTATATGAACACATGAAGGCACAGCTTTAATACTTTATTAAACAAGCATTTTTTAAAAATCTTATCTTTCACAAAACTTGTTTTCAGGACAGGAAATATCATATAAAATTCCAGTCTAATCCAAATATCTTGGAAACATGCTGGTGCCTCCTTGGTTAGCCCACACTGTGTGGTAACGTTTAATCTCGATGGTAAAGTCACATGACATTCATCTTCTCCAATCCTAGCAAAGATGGTTGTCAGCTACATGGCTGCCTAAAGATGGCAGTGAAGTCACATGCTGTTTATGGTTCAAGGTGCTGTCAGACCACAGAGACCCTTTAAGATTACCTATGCATGTACTTTAACTAGCAACCCTGTGTTATGAGTTTTAAGTTAAATTTTTTGTTACAGATTTTTATCCATACCCAATAAACTTAAAAATCTTGAGATAAGGTTTATATCTTGGCAAAAGGTTTAGGCAACTAAATGAAAACATTCATCTTTTTTAGCTGTTCTGTTTTGTCTCTTCTCCGTTGCAGCATCAGATGGTTCGCCAGACCCCAGATAGATATTTTAAAAGCATGTCTGGGTCCAAAATGGGAAGAGCCAGAACCCAATTCCAGAGCCATCTTTTCAATAAAGTAGAATAGCATAAAACAACTTTATTATCCACACTTAAAAGACATTTGAATTTTTATTAAACTGGACCTGCCCAGTGGCCAGAAAGCTCAAAGATAAATTCCAAGCCCCAAACATCAAAGCAGCCATGGAAGCTTTGGAAGCTCACATACAGAGACCCATCTGGACCAAGCATGCTATCATCATACATTCATCTGAGCCTGACCCACTTCTGCCTTGTCTCCATGTTGGCAACAACACTGACAATCACATTAGAGCGCATAAACCTATCTATTCACGTAGAGCAGACAGACCAAACCTTCCCTGCTATTAAAGCCTGGGAGCAATCACTGAATGCTTCCCTACCTCCTTCAGTGTGGTAATTCTGAGAAGGCCTGCCACGGTATCTGCTGCTGTTGAATCCAATATTCAGCGGACTCTAGTGCCTGCCTGTACGGTAGAGAGAAGGGAAGGCAATGGAACCTTCTGGTACAGTGGGAGGCTGTAAGATCAGTGTCTCAACGACGCCATGAGCTACCGCAGTAAATGTTTATGCAGCTCAGTGCTGGGGCCAGAGGGCAGGGAAGCTTACCAGTCTTGCTGCCCATGTCTCAGATCAGCTTCAGTTACCTCAAGTCGGAATACACAAAGACAGGTAAAACACAAGGCAAGACACAGAGCAAAAGTGAGAACAGAAAACACAGGACAATGACATCAGCATTGGAGCCATTCAGAGGTCCATAAGTTTGGTCAAATGAATCTTCCTAACAAAGAGCCCCTTTTTCCTCAATAGCCTCCCCGTATAATCCAGGTGCCAGGAACCCACCAGAAGCCGGACCTCTCTGAGTTCTCCTTGGCTCCCAGAATGCCTGACATCCCAAGCTGGACCTCTCCACACCGTCAGCTTGGCCCCCAGGGATGTCCTATGGTTCCTCAGCTCTGTTGTGCACTTGTAGATGAGTACCTAGGTGCCAAGCTTCTCCTGGTCTTCCGGAGCTTTTCAGCTCTTGCTCTTCTCCAGGGCATTCTCAGGATTTCAAGGCAGGTCAGAGAATAACTGATAGCTGTCTGAACTCCCAATTAACCAGAAATAGCCAAGGGTCACGTGACATCTCACTTTTCCCAGAACAGGGGTCCATAGATTTTGTCAAATCCTTCCTGTTTCCCAGATGGGGATCCCACAGAACCAGAACCATACATCATAGAAAACTAAAAAGACTTCTATGACTTACCAAAAGGAGGCTTCTAGGGGTGATGCTTGCTGTCTCCTTTTTCAAGCCATTCGTTCTGGGAGTGCTGTATAGGACCACGGCACACCCTGGAGCCTTGGATCAGCAAACCAAATGGCACAAGCCCTGGGTGGCTCAGCCTATGGAACATCCTATAGCAAAGATCTGGCTCAGAGTTTGAGTGACTGGTCCTATCTCACTGGGGAACTCAAGATGTTAATCTGAGAATTGTGAGGAGAAAAAAAAATCAAATTCACAACTGTCCAAGTAAAACAAGCTGTATTTTGGAATGTACCTTAGACTGGGCAGCTGCCTGTCTCGCCTTAAATTGGAATTGGAAAGAGCGGCCCCTGCTGGCCTCTTGGAGTCCTGTTTACCGGAGAAAGTGTTCCCAAGGGTGTTAGAAAACTCCAGTGAAAGAGAAGAACAAGGGTGTGGGATATGCATCATGTGGGTGACTTTGCAAGTTCAGTTCAGGTTGAAAAACATGCTTTACAGTTTACATCAGATCTAAGAAACAGTAACTTATTCTCTA